AAAATCAACATTAAAAAAAAAATTAAAGGACCCAGAAATTTCAGTTGGCCTTACTCTTAACTCTGGGCTGTAGCTGCTAAAAACAAAAGCAGCACTATCTTTGGCTGAACTAGTATGAGTACAGTGTCTGGATCAAAGGAGAGACAGGCCAATATTATACTTTGCTTAGACTATACCTTGGCTACTGTATTCAGTTTGGGGAACAATATTTTAGGAGACCTTGACAAACCAGAGTCCGGAGAAGCACAAGAAGAAAGGGTAGTGGGCTAGAAACATAATCAAGTAGACAGCGAATTTGGGAATGTTTTGCTTGGACAACTGAAGAAAGGACAGGATGATAGGTTTGTGTCTGCTTGTAATGTCTTGTACCAGAGAAAAGAACTAAAATTGGATATAAGTCAGAAGCAGCTTTGAAGCTAATAAGAGGACATATTTTCTCCTGAAATGAACTATTTCACATAGATTACATGTGAGACATGTAATCAAGCATGAAGCATGAAGCAGGAAACCACTGCTTGATGCCATCTGTCAAGTGTCTAGAGATTTCTGTATTAGAAGGGAAGATGGACTCTTGTGATACTCTGAGATCCCTTTCAAATTTAGGATCCTAAGAAAAACTATCATCTGGGAGGAGATAGAAAAATTTTGAAATTATTTTCAAAGTTTAGAGAGAATCACATGTTCTTCATTTAAACAAGATCCAATGCAGCTAAAACTAAACGTGAAAAATTCAAGCCAGAGCATGGTTATACCCATCCTTTAAAAGACCCAAAGGAAGCTTTGTTTAAATAGCATCCATCCTCTAGTTTTATTTTCATAATAGTATCTTAAACATAGTGGCACCCACATGTTCATTAACCTGATGGATTGATGCACATTTTGGGAATATCTGTATAACTATCAGAAGCTATTGTAATTGGCATAGGTGTGTAATTTGGATTTCTCCTGTACTTTCTGCCTTGTATAATATAAAAAGCAAAGCATTCATTTTAGCTTTGTAATCTCTTTTCTCTAAGCAAAGGCCTCCAAAAAAGTTTCCACCAGTTTTCAATTTTGAACTAAATCTGTATTCAGTCCTGAGCCTCCTGGTATGTAGACTTTTATTCAGTCCTAAAATAATAAAACCGTAAAATGCAGATCTTTTCATGATCAAGGCAACATGGTACATATCTTGTTTTTCAAGTTCATAGGCTACCAGGTCCAGCAAAGTATGTACAGTATTGTGACATGAAGGTTTTTTCCCCTCACATTTCAAATCACTCTTGCATTAACTCTTGGCTAAGTCCTCTCTACATTTTTGTTCTAAGTTCAGTACATTCTAGAATTCTCAGCCTCTCATCATCTTTCTTAAATCCTTATATATGTACATGCTTTTGCTTTTGGCATGTTATCTTAATTGTTTTGTTTTTTTTTTTTACTAACTCAATGGCAAATATAGTGGACTCCCAGCATTAACTGGGTATATTGCATTTTAAAGGTCAAGCAAGTAGGAAATCAGGTATCCAGAGTGCTGACCTCATTGATACTGAAACTAAAGATGAAGAAAGATGGGAATTGTATGAAATCTCTCGTTTTTTTCTCCCTTTTATCTTACATTCTTTTTCCTGATATGAAGTGGTAGTGGTGGCGTGTGTTTGTCTAGGGAGAGGAAAAGAGAAGAAGGAAAGAGAGAAAGAGGAGAGGAAAACAAGAGTTAGATAATATGAATAATAATTCCTAAAATGTGTATAGCTATCATTTAATTGAAGCAGAAGCACATAAGAGACACATAGGGACAAACCTGCAGAGGGAAAACTAGATCTCTTGAACGGAGGAAACGGAGCTGAATCGCAGATTCCAAGACTGCAATACTCTAAGTCCACAGTTTCTCCAGGGTTCTATTTACAGCCTACCGGTAATTTTTAGTGGTGCACCTGCTGCATTACAAGGGGGCAGGGTTTATTTTTGGCACAGCTCCTCCTCCTCCTTCTACCCTATCTCTGGCTTCTTTTCCTCTGACCTCTAGATACGCAGCATCCTCACACTGATCACTGGTTCACCAAAAACCTGTCGGGTACTCTCTGCTGTCTCTCCCTCCTCTTTCCAGCCCCAAATCAAGTCTTATTCCCAGACTGTGCAAGGAGGAAGTTGGCCTGGTCATCTCTTTAAAATAATCAGATGGAGGCGACTCTTCATTTCTGTTCCAAACATGTACTTTAAAGGAGGAGGTTGTTAGCTTTAGTTGGGTCTCTGTTTTCATTTTGTGGTTCTTAAGTAGCTTTTCATCAGGTTCCCAAAGGAACCCAATCCCAGAGCACTTATAACACGTTATTCTGACAAAATGTATACAGGAACTCTCTTGAACTAGGGTACATATGTGGGCTCCTCTTCTAGTTGGATAAACCCTCACACTACTCTCATCAATCCAGAAATCTACCTGATGGCCTTCGTCCTCACTTTTGCTAACAACATAACTCACAGTAGAATAAGGTATTGCTCGGACACCACTCAATACCCTATTGAAGGACAGAAGCACAGTGAGCAGGTGGGAGGCCTAAGTACCAATTGATCTTCCATGAAAAATATTAATCATATAAAATGTAGACATATACATTAATTTTCAGTTAAAAAATTAACAGAAGTTGCAAGAACAGTACAATATCTACCATATACCCTTTATCTAGATTTATCAGTTGAACGTTTTGCTACATGATCTCTCTTTGTTAAACCATTTGAGAGTAAGTTACATATATCAAAAATACTCCAGGGTGTGGCTCTTAATAAGGACACTCTTTTTCATAACCACAATTATAAAATTCAAAAGGCTTCATGAACATTTAAACAAAACTTTCAGCTAATATACAATCCATAGGGGCACCTGGGTGGCTCAGTCAGTTAAGCGTCCGTCTTCGGCTCCGGTCATGATCTCGCAGCCTGTAGTTTTGAGCACCACATCGGGCTCTGTGCTGACAGCTCCAAGCCTGGAGCCTGTTTTCCCGTTCTGTGTCTTTCTCGTTCTCTGCCCCTCCCCAGTTCATGCTCTGTCTCTGTCTCAAAAATAAATAAACGTAAAAAAAATATATAATCCATATTCAATTTTCTACATTTGTCCTGAAAACATTCTTTTACAGCACCTTTCTCCCAATCCAAAATTATTTGTTGCCCTTAGTGATCTCTTTAATCTCTTAAGTCTATAATGGGTTTTCAGCCTGTATCATTCATGACACTGACCTTTTTTTTTTTTGAGTATAGGCCAATGGATGAGTGGAATATTTAATTTGCATTTTTCTAATTGTTTCATTGTGATTAGATTCAGAACATGGATTTTTGGCTGAGATACTATGAGACACTGAATCTTTGTATCTTTTATCAGAAGGTACATGATGTCATTTTATCCCATAAGTGGTGACATTCACTTTGATCATTTGGTTAGGGTGGTGTCTATCAGATTTCTCCACTGTAAAGGTGCCATTTTGTCAGTTTGTAGTGAATAAGAAACCTGAGGATATTTTGAGAGTGTGTAAATATCCTTTCTCAGGGATTTTAACATCTATTTTGTGATTTAAAATCTTTTGAGAATTCTATGTCTGAATCAATTATTATAGTCGTTGTAAAATGGTGATTTCCTAATTTCATCATTTCTTCCAGTGTATTAACTGTCAAAGATATTTCTCTCCCCACCTTTATATTTAACAGTTTAAGAATAAATATGCACTTGTGTATCCTTTTTTGGATTATGACACAATGAATTTCATTTTTATCATTCTTCATTGGTGATGCTCAAACTGTCCCAGTTTTTGGTAAGCAGAGACGGAGTCAAGCCAGCTCATTTCCTTTTGACATGTGTTCACCATTCTTTGAAAATCTTGCTTTCTGGTGCAAGATCATCAGGGACATTTTATACTTTCCCTCTTTCTGCCCTCAAATCGGCCATTTCTTCAGAGTCTGGTTCCTTGTAGTAGAGATTGGCATTTAGAAAGCAAGATCTGGTGGCACATAATAAAGTTCAAAACATTAAGATAACACTGTTCTGTTTGCTTGGGCCGCCACATGGAAGACTGGTGTGCGGTGATTTGCAATCCAAACTCTACCATCATCTGCATGACCTTGGCAATTCCCTGCATTCTTTGGGGCTTGATTCATCACCTGAAAAGTAATTGGATTAGATAGATATTTCTTAACCTTCTCAGGATCACCAACAGGTTTGCGAATCGGACAAAAGCGACGGTCCCATCTCCCCAGAGATCCTCTCCAGGAAGCAGAAGTTTACATACATTTTAGGCGTGTTGAGACTCTGAAGCCCATTTGAGGCTGCAAATCCCTGGATTAAGTCATCTCTAGTGCCTTTTCAAACGCTGACATTCTGTGTCTATAAGCGACCCTGCTGCTGTCAGAATGATTCCTAAGAGACCTCAAAATGTGTGGAGGGATTTATACAGAAACAGACGAGAAAAGGATACAAAGAAAGGGGCCTGTGAGCAACGCGTTGCCCAGCCACAGTCCTTTCCCGGGGCCAAATGCGGTCACAGGTGAGCGGTTTTGGCGGGAAGGTCCCCAGGTACGTGGAGAACGCCGGGGCGGGGGATGGAGACCGCAGACCGGGTCCAGGTCGCTGCACCCCTCCGTTCCGCCCACCAGGGCTCGCTCTCGCCCTTCGGCTGGGCGCGGCCAGGGAGCTGGGCGGGCCAGGCGGCGACCCCGCCCCCGGCAGCCGCGAGGCGGCCGAGAACCCGGGGGCCCCGGCGTCCGGCACGAACGCGCCGTCCAGGCCCCGCCCTTCTTCCCTGGCTCCCTCCCTCCCTCCCTGCCGCCGACGTCGGCGGTGCTCCGGTCGCCATGGTGACCAATCGAGGCCCGGTCCCGCCCCCGCCTCCCAGCCCCGGCCCCCTGACGTCGGCGCACGTCAGCGGCGGCGCGCGCCTGGCTGGGCCCTGAGGAGCGGGAGGGAGCGAGCGAGGGAGCGAGCGGAGCGGCGTCGCCGGAGCCCAGCCGCGCCGCCGGCCCGCCAGCCCGCGCTCCAGTCCGCCGTGTCTAGCAGCGGGGCCCAGCATGGTCATGGCGGATGGCCCGAAGCACTTGCAGCGCGGGCCGGTCCGGGTGGGGTTCTACGACATCGAGGGCACGCTGGGCAAGGGCAACTTCGCGGTGGTGAAGCTGGGGCGGCACCGGATCACCAAGACGGAGGTGCGGCCCGGGGCTCGGCGGGAGCGTCCGAGACGAGGGTCCGGGAGAGGAGCTGTTGGCCGGGAGGGGCGGCTGCAGCGGGGGGTGAGGGTGGGGGGGCTGGGTCCCCAGCTGAGGCGAGGGGCCTGGGGTCGTGAGGACCCGGGAGGTGCAGGGGGTCGGTGAGCGCCGAAGAGCTCGGGCCCGGTCCCCCTTGAGCCGAGTGTCGTCCAGTCAGTCGGAAGCCCGACCAGCCGGGGCTTTGCCTTCCCTACGCCACCCCCGGTGGCCGCACGGAATTTCGCTCCGGGCCTCCCACCCGGGCCGTGACCTGGTCTGTGGCCTCCGCTCCGGAGCCCAAGTTCCGCGTCTTCCCTGCTTTCAGCTGGGGGTGGGGTGGGAGGGGAAGTCTGGGTGCTCCGGGGCCGCCTGCGCCCGCACTCCCGCGACGGGGCATCGCGCGGCCCCCCGCGACCGCGGCGCCCCTCCCTGCCCCGGCGAGGACCGGCCCCCCCTCTCCCCGGTGGCCGGCGGTGCCCGACCGGCCATTGTCCCTCTCGTCTCCCTCCTTTTGCCCGACAGTGTCTCCCTCCGAGCTGGTGTCAGGCTGGCTTGATCTCGCGCCCGAGGCATTTCCATCTAATACTCCAGACAATAGAGCTGGTGTGAAAACGGTCAGCCCTTGCGTTTGCCCGGTCGGCGGCTCGGGCTTTCTCCGCCTAGGTCGTCCCTCCACCAGGTGCGCGTTCGGGCTGCGGAGACGCGTTCCTGAAGCCGCCGCTCAGGCCGCCTCTCCACTCCCGAAGCCCTCAACTGCTTCCCGACGATGAATCCGGGCCCCCCCCCCCCGCACATTCTAATGCACCGCACATATCTTCTCACGAGTCTCTGTTCTTACCTAACCCGCCCCCCTTCCTTCCACTGCCTCAAGCTGCTCTCCTCAGGGTCTCTATTTTAAGACGTGCAAATTAAATACTTCGAGAAAACAGTAGAAACAAAGCCATTCTTTAGAATAAAACCTTGTGTTTTTCGCGTACTCTACCCTGCCTTATTCTAGTTGGGCTGGAGTTTCGTCCTTTTTCAGTATTTTTTTTTTTTTTTTTTTTTGCCTCCATGGTTTTCATCCTGCTTCGTTTTCCTCCCTGTTAGTGCAAATGCACTAGAGTTTGTGCGACAAATCTAGGACTTACACCTCACACCCCCCCCCCCCCCCGGAGAATGGCTAGGTAAGGTGAAGGACATTTGGAAACTTGGAGTGATTTTTTGCTGCTGCTGTTCTTGGAAGTTTTGCTTAATGTGAAGGAGTCCATTTCCAAAAAGTGGGGGCATATGGCGTTATGTCGTCTTCAGTTTTTGTCCTCCTCCCACCAGTCCTGAGGCATTCCGAATCCGACTTATTTTTTTAGTATTAGGACCAAGGTCACAGATTTACCATAGTCACCGCTTATACCAAGTTTGTAATGATGAACAAGGGGACTGTAGTGAGATTATTTAATCCGGATCCCAGCATTTCTAGAAATGAAGAAATCGATTCTATCCCTCCCAAAAACCATGGTCCAATGCCTTGCTCTTTCCCCATCAATTACGTTAAAAGAAGGCATTTTTAATTGTGTATTTTTATATGAGTCCTTGCTTGCTGACTCTAAAAATCAAAGAAATTGTGCATTAAGGAAAGCGCCTACAGAGCTTCTGAACATTTTTATGTGGTTGAATTCCAAACCCATTAGTTCGTAATTTTTTTTCTCATCAGCTTTTAACAGTAGTGGTTGCAAGAGCTAATTAATTCAGCTGTTATTTATTAGGTCAGGCTTAGATAATACGGTATCTGTTTAAGAACTGTTTTTGTGGAGCTGGTGGTGAGTGACACTCTTGAGGTTGACAGTTCAAACTGAGTCCCTTGTAAAGTGATCTGTCTGGTGGAGCTAGGGGGCACTGTGGAGCAGCCCGGTGGTTTGGCCATCACCTCTTAAGATCAACGCATTTGTAATTGAAGGCACAGATTGGATCCTGAAAGATCACTCGGATCCTTGTATACATGTGTAAAACAATTTAATTTAAAAGCACAATTTCTAATCCACAGAACCTGTCTCCCTTTGCTTTTTAAAAGAAGGTGGCCTTAGGGCACCTGGGTGACTCAGTCGGTTAAGCCTTGGACTCTTGGTTTCAGCTCACATCCTGACCTCACGGTTGGTGGGTTCCACCTTGTTCTGCACTGACAGTGGGGAGCATGCCCAGGATCCTGGCTATCCAACCGCCCCCCCCAGCCCCGTCTTGCTCTCTGCCCCTCCCCTGCTCATGTTCTGTCAATCTCTCTCTCAAAAAATAAATAAACTTTAAAAAGTTTGGGGGAAAAAGGTGCCCTTAATATATAAAAAGAAATCACGTGGATTTAAGATGGGCCCATGTTCCTGGTAATTTGGTGTGAGTGGGGATTTTAAAGTTGAGAGGAATGAGGGAAATAGCAAGGTAATTAATGAAGAGGAAAAGTTCTGAAGTTCTGGAGAGTTGCTCTGTGAACTTTCCTGGTAATTTGCATTAAGAATTGTTTAGCAACAGCACTGATACAGTTGTTTCTTAAAGCATACGATTAATAAGGATTTTTAAAGCAGTGTTTGTTATCTTTATTCATTCACTGGATAAATGTTTGTGTCTTCAGTCAATCCAACTACCTCAAATACTGTAAATAAGATGGCTAGTGGAAACCTTAAAGTTTTATTTAACATTATTTTAGATTCTCATTGCTGAACATACTACAGTAATTACAGGTGAGAGAATTTTTTAAAATATTTTTAATTATTTCTGAGAGAGAGAGAGAGACAGTGTGAACAGGGGAGGGTCAGAGAGAGAAGGAGACACAGAATCTGAAACAGGCTCCAGGCTCTGAGCTAGCTGTCAGCAGAGAGCCCGACGCGGGGCTCGAACCCACGAACCATGAGATCATGACCTGAGCCGAAGTCAGAGGCTTAACCGACTGAGCCACCCGGGTGCCCCTACGGGTGAGAGAAATTAAAGTGTGTAAAGAGCAATTTCAGATAAACATCATGATGGTACTCATTGCTTATAGAAATTTCTTCAATACAATATGTCTTAACATCAATGTAAGTTTATGTTCTGAAGATTAGAGGTCTTGTTTCCCAAGTTTGAACCCACGGCCAATTTTAGGGCTTAATTTAATGTCTGTGTGATGAAAAATCGGACCTTATTATTATTATTATTATTATTATTATTATTCTTTTAAATGTTTATGTGTTTTGAAAGAGAGAGAGAGAGGGGCAGGAAGAGGAGAGAATCCCAAGCAGGCTCAGCTCTGTGAGTGCAGAGCCCAAGGCAGGCCTCAATTTCAGGAACCCTGAGACCCATGACCTGACTGAAATCAAGTCTGGGATGCTTAACTGACTGAACCACCCAGGTGCCCCAAAGACCCTGTTATTTTTACTTGGTTCTTCTCTGTTGCTAGTTGGAAATCACTGAAGAATGATGTATTTTCTACAGAGCTTGGGAGATCCAAGACTGTTTGCCTTTTAGGCAAAGAAAAATCAGTACACAAAAAGAGATCTTCATTTTGGTCTAATCAAATAGCTTAACATTGTTTAAGAAATATAATTACATTCTCATCTGACGCTGTATTCTCATGTTAGATCTCTATGTAAATTTTGCACACAAAAGGGAAGGCAGGTGGTGGTAGAATCCAGCTTCCTAATAGAATACTTCAGAAAAGCTTTGTAGTGTTGGTTTGTGGTTTATGAATTAGAGTAGCTAATTTTATAAAATTAGCATAATGGGAAAAGAATAATAGCATTTAGACTGTTCAACTATTTTAGGCAATAGTGGTTGCTAGTTTGCTATGCTGTGAGTGTCCTTGAGTAATGTTTTATTTTATTAATACTGTGCTAGCAAGGAATTGTTTCCTTCTAATTGTATGGCTGGTTTTTTTGTTTTCTGTTAAAGAAATAGCCTTAGTGTAGAAAATATAAAAAAGTGTATAGTGCACAAAATGTACATGTGTAATTCTTCCACCAATGGGAGTAAATCATTCTTAGAGCATATTTCCCTCTAGTCTTTTTTTTTAATGTTTTTTTCCATAGATGAGATCATATGCTATATACACTTACATAAATTGTATCCTTTTTCCACTTATCATTATAACATATTTTGCTTAATATATCTAACTTCGTAAAATATTTTTAACAGCTGCATAGTGTTTCACCTAGTAGATGAATCCTGTCTTATTTAACAATTTTCTTATTAAACATTACATAATTTCCAGTTTTCACTTTGAGTAAATAATTTGCAGTGAATAATCTTTGCGTGTGTAACTCTGTGTCTGCATTTTTTTTTCTGGGGGAGGAGCTAGGGGTGAGGAGTGGAATTTGGAGGTAAATTCCTAGAAGGGAAATTACCAAGTGAGAAGGTATTATTTTCACATTAAAGAATAATATATATTATCAAATCTATCATATTTATTATTGAAAAAATTTTAAAGTGTAGATAAATGAAAAGAATTACCCATAATATCACCACCCGGAAATAACCATTAGTTATTTTCACATTTTTTCTGTGACAGATAATTAAGTTTCCCTCAATACCATACCTCTTGTGTTGCCCAGCTAAAGACCATGTGAGTGGGTAGTTCATGGATCTTAAAGCTCTTTTACAGAGGGTCTGAAAATTACCCTATTAAAATGGCATTTTGGTGTTGGACTGCTTACTTATCCTTAAGAGAACCTGGAATGTAAAACTGATAGCAAAGACATCTGAAAACTTTTTGCTCACTGAAAAGCTGTGTTTGTGCGTGTTGGGGCTTTTAAGTTTAGGCATAATTCTTTACTACTTTAAAATATATTTTTAGGGTTGCCTGGGTGGCTCAGTCGGTTAAGCGTCCGACTTCGGCTCAGGTCATGATCTCACAGTCTGTGGGTTCGAGCCCCGCTTTGGGGCTCTGCTGACAGCTCAGAGCCTGGACCCTGTTTCAGATTCTGGGTCTTCCTCGCTCTCTGCCCCTCCCCCACTCACGCTCTGTC